CTCCGACGATCATGTGGATAATGTGTTGTGGCTCTTCTTGTTCATTTTGTTTATTGAACTCTCTGTTTTTGAAATGATTCTTGGTCCGGTCACTTAAAAACTCTCGAAGTTGCCCTTCATTGAATAACCGGGCTACCTCTTCTCTCAACTGCCTGTAATCTTCCGTTATGTGGCCATGGTGCCATGATACTTGCACATTTGATTGAGATTTCTCTGGGCTGGATCGATCCGCAGAGGTCGAGGCCATTTAGTGTCTTTGATGCGTCCGATGGCCGATATGATGGAGGATACATCAATGTTAAAGTTATACTTCGACAATCGCGGTGCTTCCTTAGGTCTGGTATGCTTGTCGAAACCATTCTTGTTCATCAGGCCTCGAGACCCTTAGCCCCGATCACTTCTCCTTTCATCTCGTACAAAGCTGTGTCCTAGTTCGCTGCCCCTACGATCTCCATTATATGGCCAGTATCGGTCCCTGTTCGACCTCGGTTCTCGGTCGATGTCCCTTTTAACAACGGACCCAGAGGGGGGGCCCAACTGGTCGTTTTCGACTCTAATCTTTGATTGATATCGATTATGTACATCGGCCCAGGTAACATCCGGGTACTCAATCAAGTTCTACTTCAACTGATGTGAAGCCATTGAGCTTCATTTGTTTAGTCCTTGGGTGAAAGCTTGAACGACCCAATCGTCCGTGACCGATGGTAGATCCATTCGTTTCATTTGAAAACGAGATACAAACTCCTATAGAATCCTGTTATCTTTTTGCCTTACCTTGAAAGGGTTCGACTTCCTCGTCTCGACCTTTATGGCTCCGGCGTGTGCTTTTTACAAAGACATCTGCAAGCATGGCAAAAGAATCGATAGAGTTAGGTGGTAAATTATGATACTATATCATTGCTCCCTTTGACAGGGTTTTCCCGAATTTCTTTAATAATACGGATTCGATCTCGTCGTCCTCTAGATCGTTTCCTTTAATGGCACATGTGTAAGAGGTGACATGTTCGTTGGGGTCGGTCGTTCCATTATATTTAGGAATTTTGGGCATGCGAAACTTCTTGGGAATCGGTTTGGGAGCTGCGCTCGGGGGGAAGGGCTTTTGTACGAATTTTTTGGAATCCAAATCCTTCAATATTGGTGGTGCCCCCGGGATCTGATCAACCCTGGAGTTATAAGCTTCTACTTTTTTGTCGTTTGCTTCAATCCTCTTTTCTCCTCACTCTATCCGTTTTGTCAGTTCCTCGAGCATCTTTATAATTTCGGGGTTAGTCCCCGATTCTTGTTCATTTGACCTTACTATAGCTGGCCCCGTTCTGTAGTTGACTTCTCGGGGTGGACCGGGCTCAGGCCTTCTCGGTGCCTGGGTTTGGCTCTGCAACTGAGCTATCGCTACCTGTTGAGCTTGCAACATTTTGAAAATGATATGCAGGTTGATCCCTTCTTCTCCAATATTTTGGGTATTTCAAACTGCAGATCAAGTTCCACCATGAATGCTATTTCCGGGGTCGGAATGTTGGTTCTCTTCAATGGCCACATGCGAATTAATGTCGATTGGATTTACGACCCGAGTTCTAACAGGGTCAACGAATGGCCTTTCATCCCCGAGCGTCAGGTTATTATTCTTACCTTGATGGCCATCTTCGTTGTCGATAGGTAGGGCCATTAATTGAGAGTTCGTCATTTTTAACCTGAAATCAAAGATACTTCCAAGAACAAGTGTAAAATAGTGCGTTTTATAGAGATTCGTACCAAATAACCACTATTATCCTTAGCCCCATGGTGGGCACCAAACTGTTTACCCGAAAAACGGATAGAGTTGATATTATATGTAGTTATAAGGATACATGATATAAATTGATGCAAATTGGAAAAAATATGTAAATGAATATCGAAATTAGTTATAAAAGAAATGAATGCAAACCGAATGAACTAGTTAGCCTAAGCCTTCAAGTTTTATCACCTCCAAATTGAGTGAAGAATGATTGGTAGAGGGAACAATATGACTAAATATCAAAAGCCAAAAAAGGATAGTATTTGCTCTCTTTTTTTATATTTCAAAATGAATCTGATGCTCTACAAATGATAACAAGTTAATAACTCTTTAATATAGTGGGAAAATCCCATTTTGAAAATAATTAAAAATACATAGTGGGTATTCCATGATAGATTAATTAATTAGTTTTTCCTTGATTCAAGCCGTAATTTCCGCCGAGATTCTCCCCCAATTGCGGCTATAGCGGCATTTTTGTTTCTTGGCTCGACCTCGATCTTGGTCGATCTCGGTATTGATCGGTCTCTGGGACTCGAGCTCGATCTCGATATTGGCCGGTCTCGGTATTGATCGGTCTCTGGGACTCGAGCTCGACAACCTAACTTCGCATCATGGCTCGATATTACAATGATGAATCTTGGACCATCATGTTCCAATCTCGATTAATCATAAGAAGGGCAAACTCAGTTTTGATCATATACAACATTACTGTTTCAAAGGTCTAGCGCAATATATTTTTCTATAGAAAATCAACATAAGGTAATTAAGCGCCAAAAATAATTTCACCAAATATTGTTTTTTTTGAATATTTATTTACATCATACCAGAAATACCAGTATTTCCTTTCTTTTTGAGATGGTGATTCTGTTACAGCAATACAGCTTGGGCGGGGCTGCATAGGCTTTCGGTTTGATACTTGTAAGGTGGATTTTGACAAACATTTCACCAATGAGCCCAAAGGACTAGTCCAACATAATTTTCCCAAGATTATTTGTAGTGAGGAAACAAAAAAAAGAATTATCTTAGCCAATGAAAATGTAGGCTAATGGAAGTTCTATGGTTAATACTCTAAGCTAAAATGCAGTTATTATAGTTAATTAGTGCAAAAGAAGAGATCACGAATATAAGTGAGAAAAAACCTATTTACCTTTGTGTGATTAGTGAGGATTAAAGGAGAGTAGAATTGATGATATCTCCCTCTCTTGAGACTATGGATGGCAAGTGGGCCGGTCTAGGCCCGGGACCGGGATCGCGGGTCAAATGAGTCAGGACCGTTTGGCCCGGTTTTAGTGGGCCTGGGCCGGTCTTGTGGGTCGGTCTTGTGGGTCGGTCCCATGTAGACCCGGGACCATTTAGCCTGCCAGGGACTGGTCCCTTAACGGGCCAAACGGTCCCAACGGCTATACTATATATACATATTATATACTATATATATGATGTACTTATATATATATA